AAGGATTCAGGGATTGCCTGTGTGAATTTACAGGCCCTGCAGTCTTCATGCCAATCTGCCATCCCTTCTCTGACTTCTGGGCTCTGTGGTTTTCCTGAAGCCATCAGCACCTGCTCCCTGCCACCTTCCTATGTCAGGTTCAGTCATGGACCCTGGTGGTTAGAGGGCTACCATTGCCCCTCACCCTGAGGCTGGCTTGTCTGTGGTCTCTGATCCCATGTAGATCTGCTGGTGGCTGTGTCAGAGGAGCAACAGGTGGCAATTGGAGTCCAAGGTGTCAGCCCACCAGGAGGAAACACTCTGTTGAGTCAATCTTGGTTCGACAAGACCACAAGTCCCAGGACCCCAGAATGTCTTTTGATTCTGCTCTGCCTCTACATGTTTCTACGGCCATCTTCCTCTGGGATCTCACATGGGGTTAATGGATGGGGGGAGACATCCCTGCCTGTGATGTGGTATGTTTATTTCATGGGAACCATTCTCATGGGCATTTTTATCTGTGAATTGTCATGAAAATGATTCCTACCTAAATTGTCCTGCCAAGTTGATGATAATAATGATAGTTTATACAGAGTTTTGATGAATAAAAGTAAATACAAGGAAATGTTACACAGTTAGGGCCTATGAGTTTTACAGCTAATGCCTATCAGTTTCACCCGAGGAGCTGCTTTAGATCACAGTTCAGGATAATGATTAAGGGAAACGATTGAGTCCCCCGGTCCAGGCAGGCTCTAATTCTCTTAATGCTGAAAGATGCTGTCACAGTTTTCTGTTTGCACCATTATCTCAAACAAAGCTTCAAAATAATTTTTGTTAGACCATATGCTCCGAGAATAGCTTTAAGACAAAGAACCGCAGAAAACAATCTGAAGTTTACAAGGACACACAGTTGAGTTATAGATTCATTAGGATAGGGTCAAAAATACAGAGCAGCCTGACTGTTGTTAGCTGAAGTACTTTCCATGCTAGGTCTGGTTGGTGATCAAAGGTGATGATTAATTCCTTTCACCCACTCCTGACCTTAATTTTCTGATATTAGATATTATTGATAAATCAGAATGTACTCTGAGGATTCAGAGATCAGCTGACTGACTGGTTTTTATGTATAAAAGTTTGGGTTTACGACTTCTTTAAAATTCCTTATAAGATTACCTTTCAAGATAGATAATAAAGTGGTTGATTCTTTTTTTTTGTAAAAGCAATATGCAGCCTTCCAACAAAAGAGTTGGAAGAGATGAAATGGTCCTTGTTTTCTCATATTCTATTAGTCTTAACAAGTTGCTTAGATGTTATAATGTATGTGAGTTATTAGGGTGACTCTGTTTTTAATCATGTAAGGGAGTTAGTTGAAAATATGGTTTTACCTATATCCATTATAATCATTCACTTGAAAATTTGAATGTAACCACATTGTGAAGCCTGTATGGCTTAAAAGACTTTGTTGGGGAATATAAGTTGTAGAGGCAAAAAGAAGGAGGAGGAGCAGAAGGAGGAGGAAAAGGAGGAGAAAGAGAAGGAGGAGAGCAGAAGAAGGAGGAGGAGGATGAAGAGGAGGAGGAGGACGAGAAGAGGAAGAGGAAAGGAAACCATCAAGAAAGTGTGTGAGTGTCTTTTTCCCTTGTCTCCTCAGATCAAAAAAGTACAGTGTGCTGACAGTGTAGATTTCCATTTGAGTCTGAAGTTGCCTGGAGCCTGGTATAGATCCTTCCCTGGGGCTCATCACCTTCACTCTCAGCCTTAGAGCTCACTTCTTTTCCTTTGGGTCCCTCCATCTCTGACTGCTTTCTCCAGATCTCCTGAGAAAGGTGAATAGAGACGGCAAATGTCCCGTGTACAGAAATGGAGGTGCAAACAACAGTCATGTCACCAATACGCCCTTGATGTAAAGACCCCTCAAGTCCCCAGAAGTGCCTCTGAGTTCACCCAGAGTCAAACTCCCATCAGCCTCTGTGCTCACTGCTGCTCACCAGCACAAGTACAAGGAAGAAAACACAGTTCCCTGCTTAGAACATGTCTGCAGTTCCTCCTGCCCCCTTCCCTCTCAGTTACCTAGGGTCTGTGTTTGTCTTTGATAAGAACATGGTGTGGGGCAACAACAAACATTAACCTAAAGTGGCTTTGAACTCCATATGTAGCAGAAGATGACCTTGGAAATCTCAGCCTCCTGCCTCCAGCCCTAGAGTGCTGGGATTATAAACGTGTAGGACCGTGCCCCATGTATGTGGTGCTGGAAGCAACCTTCACTCAGCCACAATCCTATCAAAAAGAGAGCCTCGAAATATAGATGGGACCAGCCTTGAACTCCTGAGCATCTTGCCTCACTTTCTGAATTCTGAGAGGACAAGTGCACCAGTCATACCCAACAGGCAAACAAAGTAAATTCACAGACTGATTTTCTGAAGAAACTCTGCGGCTTTTATCAGTACATGTTTCTGAGTTATTTTGGACACAATATACCTCATGTTTCTTCCCTGCCCTTGCATTTTTTCTCTCTTTCCACCTCTGTCCATATCTCATCCTCCCCATACTGTGTGTGTGTGTGTGTGTGTGTGTATGTGTTGGTCTGTCAGTTTGTCTGCCTTTTCATCTACCCCTATATGTCTCTTTCTCTTTCTTTGGTTGTACACTCAGATCCCTGTATCACCATCTTCCTTTATGCCCATTCTCAGAGACTCACCCTGGAATTTCTGCAGCTCCTCCACCAGATATCGGGCCTCCTCCTTTATCCGCTCCTCCACACTCCGCTTCCCCATCCCAAAGTCCTTCATGGTGGCCACAGAGAATCGCCTAAGGACTTTCCAGCATTCCCCATTGGCAAAGATCACACCTTAAAAAGTAGGGGTAGGTTACACTGAAAGGTCTGGGAACCTGAGTCTTTCAACACAGCTCTGGCTCCAACTTCCTGGACCACATCCTCTACGCCATCCTGTCCCATGTCTTACCATATCCCTGTACAATTGGCTCAACCACAGCAACTGTCCCCCGGCCAGAGAAAGCCTCAGCTTGGTCCACCAGAGCCTCCCTTATGGCCTCTGTCCCACACAACATGACCACAGGCCTCGGTCCCAGGTGCACTGTGAACACATCTCCATATTTTTCTCGAAACTGCCAAACAAAAGGGGACCACGGTTGTTGTTAGTCAGTGCAGATGATGATGTTACACTATGAAAACACATACAGAATGGAAGATAGGAACCTCTCATATGACCACTCTTTCCCTTCTAGGAACCTAAGATTGAAGGCTTAATTCCATACATAGTCAGGGTCTGCATTGATTGGTTGGGCTTCCTGATCAGTACAACAGTACTGTAGTGTAGGGAGGAAGGGCAACACACATTTATAATCAAGCAATGTGGAGGCAGAGGCCAGAGAATCGCAAGTCATCCTTGGATAGACATCCATTTGGAAGCTAGCCTCAGCTTCATACAATTCTGTATCAAAGAAATAGATATAGATATGGATTCAGCTATCTATGTAGCTCCATGCCCACATCTTCAGTCTGGCCAGCTGGACCATTCTTCCTGTGACCCAGTGACAACCTGTCCAGTGCCTTCTGACAACATCCAGAGGATGGTCCTGATTCACCCACTGAGTTACATGGAAAGGAAAAGTGATAGTCATCTGGTGGTGGACCTGAATGTGAGTCATGACTACAGCATACACAGTTGAAAAATACCTGACAATGCAACCATCTGGGCATCTTCAGGGAATTGATCCCAGGAATGTCACAACCCTCAAGTGCTGAAAGCCCTTGGAGAGAATGGTGCAGTGTTTGCATATAACCCACCTCATCCTCTCACAACCTTTACCTCACTCTAGACTGCAATGTAGCTAATAGAAATGAAAGGCTATGAAAATGGTCAGTGTCCAGTGTAGTTTAGGGGACAATGCTAAGGAAAACCTCTAGACAAATTTGATATTGACATACTTATGTTTTTAGGAAGGGTCACAACTTCGAAACTTAAGCAACAATGAACTATCAATACACAGATCAGATTAAAGATGTTATATGAAACTTGAAAGAGGATCATGAGTTTGAGGTTAACCTGGGAAAAGTAGGATGACCTTGTCTCAAAAGCTAGATAAAAATAAATGACTACACCAATGGTACAGATGGGTGATCTGTTAACAATCAAGGGGTAGCAGGAGGTTGGGATTGTTGCCGCTATATCGGCTCTCTAAATGGAGTGGGGCCAAGAATGCTAATTGATTATTAACAAAAAAAAATGGTAATTGAACATGAAATCTCCCCTGTGAAGACTGGTATGATGGTACCATGGTCAGCTGCTTGGATGGTCCATGGTGTTCATAACTGCTAAGCACTCCCTACCTACCCCACCTCCTGACCTGCCTCTCCTCCTCTTTGCTCCTGAACAAGGCAGGCTAATCCCTTGTGCTGGCAGAAGCAAACCTTATCTGTTAATGTCTCTGGCATCTTTCTTTCTCTTCTGGAACAAAGAAGCACCAAAGAGAAAAATTGTAAAACCTTGACACACACCTGGACACCCCTGTCATCTTTCACAGTCCAAACACAGTCCCCCACATGATTTCAACATTGAGAGGACATGCCTGTGGATCTGGGCACCATCCATCACCAATCAGCCTTTCAACTTTCCCTTAGCCCCCTTCCCACCTGAGGCTAGAGCTTGGATGGAATCCCTTTCTCGTCCTGCTGAGTGATCTCCAGGAGCAAACACAGGGCTAAACCCATAGGGCACAGACACTGTGTATGTCTCACCAGCATGAAGGAGTTGAGGAGGCCTCTTCTGTCCAACTGTAGAAGGTTTCCCAAGAGGGGCAGGGGACATGGTCCTGGTGGTAGGTGGCCATGGGCTTTTGGGTGTCTCCTGACCAGAAGCAGTAAGAAGCCCACAATGATAGTGAGAAAGAGCAGGACACTGGCCTCCATGGTTCTGGTCAAATCAGCATCCACTTCACTGCATACTCCAGCAGGACTTTTATGCTGAGCCTGTCTTTCCACCCAGTTATGTAACTTCAGCTATTCCCACCTCCTATTTCATCATTGTCCAGTAGTGTGAGCAACCATGCTTCCTACTTGGGCTGCCAGTGACCTTCTCACTCCCTGTTCCACAGATGTTGTCAAGGACTTGAAACAGATACACAGGACAAAAGAACATTGGGAGTAACACATCTTGATTTCTTGGGGTGAGTGTACATTTCTCAGCTCAGTTTTGTCTGTTTATTGATTTGGGCATGGACCTGTGTGTGTGCTGCATATGTGAAGGGATATTTATGTGAATGTACATGCGTGTGCTTTTGTGTGTTACTCTAGATATAGGTGTGTGTGTGTGTGTGTGTGTGTGTGTGTGTGTGTGTGTTGTGTCTGTTGCAGTGGTGGAGATTGTGGTGGTGGTGGTGGTGGTGTGTGTGTGTGTGCTTGTGTGTGTGTCTGTGTGTCTGTGTGTGTCTGTGAATATGTGTATTGGTTGATTTTTCAAGACAGGGTTTCTCTGTGTAGTCCTGGCTGTCCTAGAACTCACTCTGTAAACCAGGCTGGCCTCGAACTCACAGAGAACCTCCTATCTCTGCCTCCTGAATACTGAGATTAAAGGTGTGAGCCAACATATGTGGCTCACATTACATTCTTGCACTGTGGGGCTCCTCTGTATGCTCTTACTTTCAGGTTTGACTTCAGTGACAGGAGTAGAGGTGCGTGTTACTGTGTGAATCTCTGTGTGTTTGTACATACACCAACCCCAGTGCCAATGTGATTTCTCCAGGGTCCCCTTTCAATCTCTGGCCTGTGACAGTCACAGATGGCAGAAAATGCAAAAGTAGGGAGACAAGAGACACAGTAGTGGTCAGGCTCGGCAGTCACGTGGAGAGAGAGGCTTCAGCCTGGCCGAGGAGCAGTTGGAGCCCCCTGGGTTTCTGATCAGTGTGACTGGCGATCACCTCCTCCTCCTGGTTGTCTCATGGGAAGTAGAGCCCTCCGACCTTCCCACTGACCCATCTCTTTCTAGTAGCATCACTGTCCCCTGTAGACTCCGACCTCAGTATGCTGAGAATGTCTTACTCTGTCTTCTAACAAGGCAGAATGACAGAGACTGGGAAGTGATAATTAGTAGGCATTTTAAAGTTGTGCTTCTAGAAGCAGTTATTTCCAAGAACACTGCACTGGTGTCTGGTGAGGCATTTGCTGCTGCATTATAACATGACATGGGGCAATCAAGCATGCCTAAGACTGACAGAGCTAAAAAGGAGACCGAACCCTCCCACAGAGGACACACTCTATGACAGTGACACAATCCATTCACAGAGTGCCATGGTTAGAATGTGAGATTTCTCCCAGGACTCCACATGTTTGAATGCTTGATCTCTAACTAGTCGTATTTTTAGGACGTTCACAGACATGGCAGAAAGATGTAGGTTCCCGAGAGGACCCTCCTCTCTCTCCTTCCCAGCTGCCTCATATTCCCACAGCAAACCTAGAGGCCCAGCTGCCCTGCCTTCCTGCCTTGAAACTGACCCTAAGCAAATCCTTCCTCACACTGGCTTCTGAGCAGGTATTTACCACAGTGACAAAGGACTGGTGCAGCAGTGGGATTGTTGTGATTGCTCTCGCCATTTAGTTCCCTGTTTGAATTCTAGGTAGTTTGGGCCCCAGCTTTGACATGGGAAGGATCATAGATCAGTATCAAAAAAGAAATGCAAGTCATGGGGCGGGGGAAGAGAGAGAAAGAGAGAGGGAGAGAGAGAGAGAGGGAGAGAGAGAGAGAGAGAGAGAGAGAGAGAGAGAGAGAGAGAGAGAGAGAGGCTATGAATGTCACCCAATCTAAATAACTTGCTACCACCACTCACAACCCTTTAAATTCTCTACAACTCCCAAAATATGACTATCAACTAAAGATCAATCGATCAAATAAGTAAGCTGGTAAGGAACATTCCACAACCAAACAACATAAAGGCAAAGCCTGAACCACATTTTAAACATATCATTTCATCTTTTGCTGCTTTATTTAATTAACTGTTTTATAAGACATAACACAAAGAAATTGACAAGACCCACAGTCTATACAACTCAGTGAACATCTATTCACTTAGAATAGACACTAGGAAGCTGCAGAGTTTCACACTGTCATTTTATTCTTTTTTAATTTTGATTTTGTGTGTATGAGTATTTCATCTGAACATACATATGTTTACTACATGCATGTCTGGTGCTCAAAAGGTGGAAGAGAACAGTATATGCTCTCAAATTAGAGATGTAGATGACTGTGAGCCACCATGGAGGTGCTGGGAACTGAACCCAGGTCCTCTGCAAGAACAGCAAGTGCTCTTCACTGATGAACCACCTCCCAGTTCACATCTCATTCCTTTTTTTTTTTCATTTTTTTATTAAGAAATTTTCTACTTACCCTACATACCACCCACAGATCCCACCTCCTTCCTCCTCCCACACCCCGGCTCTCCCTCCCAAGCCACAACCCATCCCCACATCCTCCAAATCAAGGTCTCCTATGGGGAGTCAGCAGAGCCCAGCACACTGAGCACAGGCAGGTTCAAGCCCCTCCATGCCACAGCAAGGCCCTCTGGATAATGGAGACAGTTGTTTAGCCCGAACTGTTTGGGGGACACCCAGGCGGAGGGATTGGGATCCATCCACATCTCATTTCTTAATGCAGTGATAATGGCATTTAAATTTCAACTTCAACTTTACAGGGAATGTTCAACAATTAACACTCTCCTCCATCCTTAAAAATAACCCATCCTGCTCTCTCAAAGGGCATTCATTCTATCCTAATACCACAAAATTTAAAGTAAATTAAAGCTTATCCCATGGTCCAACATTATTTTTACCATCTTTGTTACTCATCATTCAGTTGTAAACCACAAACTAGCATAAATGTGGAGAGCTAACATCTACACACCGGGGTCAACCTGCATCCATGTCTGTGTCTTGGAAGAGAACCTTCATCTTCTATGGAAGGAGATTGTGTCTTATCTTGACATTTTGACAAAGGAGATGATGACAGATGAAGAACTGGAAAGACGTGATTAGTCATATGCAGGAAGAGAAAGGGGGAGACTGATGGAGGGCAGACACAGGAAGATTGGGAAATGAGGGGGATTGGGGTACATGGTGTGACATTCTGAAGGAGTCAATGGAGAGAATTATATTAATAAAGAAAAATTGAAGGAGTCATTTATTTGGTGAAGGACATTTAATGACAAGAGAGCAGTAGGACAGTGGCAGGGTTACTGCTCACGGCTCTGACTCAAGTCCATGGGGACAAGGACCCAAAAGTAGAGCAGGAAGATAGGGGAATGATGCAATTTTGAAAAAAAAGGGAAAGGAAAAAAAGAAAGAAAAAAGGAACATCAGAGAGTTTAAAGTTGCAGACAGTGTGGGTTCAGAGGAAGCAGCTGTAATTGTTAGAGTATTCAGCAGCATTGAGGACAAATTTGTGTGAAAAACCAGCCTGCCTCCATCTTAAGCTTAAAAGCCAACTTATAGTAAAGACAGACTAGGTTCATTCCTGTTTATGATTAAACCTCTGTTTCGCAAGGATTTGGCCATGCCCCAACTGTAACCTTAATTACCAGTAGTTCTGTACTGCCTGTTCCATGAATGGCAAACATTTATTTGTTTCAAAATGGTTTTATTTAAAGATTCATTTATTTATTACATATATCATAGATGGTTGTGAGCCACCATGAGGTTGCTGAGAATTGAACTCAGGACCTCTAGAAAAGCAGCTAGTGCTCTTAACCTCTGAGCTATCTCTTCAGCCACCTCAGTGTTTTTCATAGCCATTTGTGACCCTACCTTTGTTTCAAAAGGTTATATGACCACATGTAACTACCTTTT